AGGTATGGGGGGCTGTGGGTGCGGAGCAAAGGGCACCAGCAGGGTTGGGCACTGGCCTATCAGGGCTGTGAGGGGCACTGGCAGGGGTTAGTGGGCTGTGGCTTGGGAGTGAGGGGTAATGGCATGGGCAGGGCACTGGGATAACCAGGCTACTCAGCACTACAAAGCAGTCAGGGGAGAGAGTCGCAGCTGGACCCATGTCCTGGTGAGCAAAGGGGGCAGGGGGAGCTCTTACTTTCCATAATAAAAAACCCCAAAATATAACACCAAAATTTATAGGTATTTAGAATTGATTTGATTATAGTGATTGAAGCACTGGTAGGCTTCCAACTTACTTAAAAATTGTAAATATATCAGTAAAACATTGTATTCAACTGATACGTGTGTGTGTGTGTGCATGTACAATGTTGTTTTATATATATATATTTTTATATATATATATTTATATATATATAGAAATAGACGTAGAATATAGACCTAGAATATGTTGTTTTCTAGAGAGAGAGATGGAAAACAACATTATACACACACACGTGTGTATCGGTTGAATACAATGTTTTATTGATATATTTATAATTTTTAAGCAAATTGGAAGCCTTACCAGTGTGTGTGTGTGTATACTGTATAGCATTTCATTTTAATCACAGAAAAATGCAGATCTGGGGGGGGTTAGCAGAATAATTTGCCTTTTTTTTTTGAATTGGGGAATTTGCTTCCTTTTCTTTTTAAACAGAAAACGAGGGTCCCTGGTGATAAAGCAAATAAAAGTAAAGGCCTTGATGGGCATCTTGTTGGTTGCTGTTTTAAAATGTTTGAGACTCCAACTTAGTAAGGCACAGCAGTACATGCCTCCTTTGAAGTCTGTAAACATCTGATATCAGCAGGGCTCTCCATGTACTGCAAGTAATGTCATAGCTTTGGAGCTGAGTTGCTTGGGGCCTCTCTTTAGAAAAAGGAGTGAAAGAAACCAGCTGAATTTAGTTTTCCCATTGATTTTATTTTCCCATTGTGACCAGGCCCCAGGACATTTTATTTATTTATATTTTCCTCTCGGTAGTTGAAAATGAAAACCACTGTGACTTTGTGAAGCTGCGTGAGATGCTGATCCGTGTGAACATGGAGGACTTGAGAGAGCAGACACACACACGGCACTATGAACTCTACAGGCGCTGCAAGCTAGAAGAAATGGGATTCAAAGATACTGACCCAGATAGCAAACCATTTAGGTATGAAAGCAAGAGCATTGACCTGTGCAACTAAAAAGCAGGCGCAGCTGAATGGATGTATATGTGTGAGAGCGCCAAGAAAGTGGGGGGAAGGCAGGATCTTTTTATAGACTGTGATCAGAGATAACTCTCAGTTCCAGAGAAGGTGGAGTTCTCTCTCTTTTGTGCACATTTGAATTCTTCATGCTGATGAGTCTAGCATTGATGGGTCTTGAAAGTACCGCCTTGTCTCCTTCCACAAGAGAGCACCTATGCTGTAATGGAAGGCATGATTGTGGCCTGCTGGGCAGATCTTAGGAAGTACAGGTGAAAAATACCATGAACTTGCAGCACAAGCCCCCCAGCAATCCTTGATATATAATTAGGTGGGCAGCCTGTTATTACCCATGCTAGTTTTAAAGCTGCTGTGTGCTGCCCTTGTGCCTTCCGTTGCAGGATAGATGGTCTCAAAATCTTGAGGGCTCATGTATCGGAGAAATGGAGGAAGCTGGGATGGATATTCCAGAAAGATGGCTGGCAGGATGCTCCCATATCTCATTAGACCTCACTGCCAACAGGGGGACGTTATGCATTTTGATGCAACAGGAGAGCAAAGTCTGCCTTGTTCAGACCATCCTAAAAAAATACAAATCTGGGAGATGTACCAAAGATAGCTTTACTAGCCTGTTGCATTGATCACATCACTGTGGGTCTGCTTAATTTGTAGTTTTGTGATTTTTGTGGATGTGCAAAAAACGGCTTTGTCCAGGATTGCCAGGAAATATTGTAATGACCATGATTTCCTGTTAAATCAATCTAAAAAACCCTGCTTATTCATATAATACTGTTTCAGAATGCCCTGGTGCTTACTGCAGTACAAAGGCAACATGACAATCATTGCAGCCAGAGATCATACGGTTGAGTTACTGTCTGCTAGTGACATAGACTAAGTGAAGGCGCTAGTGAGTAAAGTGAAAGTGTTTCTATTCAGGTTAGCATTAATTAATATTTCTAAACTGTTTCTAGAATGCTGCATATAATCAACTATGGTGATATAAATTACAATTCATATTGTATATTCATTTATATGTATATTATTTAAATTTAGATTTAAATTAATACTTAGATTTATAATATGATAAATTATATAATTTACTTACTGCAGAATTTGCTATTAAATTGTACAGGATCTGCCTCTGCCAGTCAGTGGTGAGGGATGGGGTTGCTGGGAAATGCCTGCGAACCCTGCAGTTTGTCCTTTGAAAATTGTGAAATTCACAGCAGCTGCTGTGAAAATTGCTTTGTCTCACTGGGAGTTGAGTTAAACCCTCTGCTGGCTGCTGCTTACATTGCAAGAACCATCAGCTGCTGCTGTTCGCTTGAAAGACCTTTCACGGCACATCCCTGCCTGACCTGTCGTCTCTCATTCAGTATTGAGAGGTCTGCTCCCGTCTCCAGCCACTCTGTCAGGCCAACCTCCATCCCTGGCTTGTTAGATATGCAAGCCAGCAAACTTTGTGTTTTCCCACGAACTGGCCTTTGGGAGAAAACATCTCATAAATCTCTGAAACATGACTTTATTATTCTCTCAGGTCCCTCCTTTAGAATGTTCCTCTTGCTATGGTGCCTGTACCAAACTTGAAAGTTCAGCAGCCAGCATACGGATGCCACAGCCAGAGATGTGGGTTTTTTCCAGAAAATTTCCACTGGCCCAAATAGAGCGTGATCTGATTTAGCATGTTTATTTGTCTTCTATTTAGTTAACAACACTAAAAAAGTACCCCATGTTAATTTTATGTCACAATAGCCACAAGTATTTGGACTGAAATATTTGATTAGGAAAAAAATTAAATACAGCACACTTAATGTGGTTTAAATATTATATTCAAACACATTCAAAGCTTTGTGCAGAAAGAAATTACTTTTATTAGAATACTTGTAAAAATGTAAAGACGGTGCACAATAGTATGTGCTTCCCTTACATTGTTTGTTTAAATTTAAGAAAAAAACTGAAGGCATGCTAATTTTAGCACACCCAGAGAACTGTGCATGATATGCCATGCTTTGGTTTTGATTTGGCCTGCAGAGCCAATTAGGTGAATTCATAACTTGACTTTTGGTTTGGATTATTATGTGAGTGAATTTACCTTCCTGTTTACAAATCAGTAAAACATATATGTACTCTCTCTCACACTTCCTAGGGATAATCACCTGAAAAACATTCATTACAACTTTAAAACTGCCAAGCTTGCCTGATATTGTATTGGCATCCATTCATTGTTACTAATGAATTTTATGAAACAATGAATTTTAGAAATGGAAAATTTCACACAGAAAAATTTCTGTTTTCCACCCCACATCTCTGGTCACAGCCTATCATGCTGACCAGGATGATCTTATTACTTCCTTGTAGCAACCCCTTGCTCCCCTTCCTGCCAGTCTGATCTCTCTGGGGCAGGAATCTTACTTCTGTCTTGGACTGGGGTAGCACCCAGTGCAATAAATTCTGGTCCATAATTTGGATAATGTCAAAGTATGAGTAGCCAGAGTCTGATGATTGTTTGACTAGTGTCTGCTAACAGGGGAGAAGCTCATTTGAGGGTTGATGCTTCTTTTAACCTCCAAAGGGCATTTTCTGACTTTGTGGTAGGTTCTATCAGTCTTTTCCTGATGGTTCTGAGCTGTCCAATCAAGGGTAACTTTGCAGATTTATCTGTCCACTCTCCAATTGCTTTGTAATTTGCTGCACCCCAGGCATCCTGGTGGAGACCTCCCGGCAGGAGGAGGATTGTAGATCACTTTAGACATGCTTCTTACTTCCTTTTCCTTTTCTAAAGGAGTCTGTTTAGATCCGCAGGCCCCACACAAGAAGTACCCTTCCCCCACCCCTTGATCAATGCATCTTTTTTGGGGAATGGATGCTGCTGTTCTTGGCAGGCTGCAGGCTGCACTCTGCATAGCTTCAGGATGTCAGGAGCAAATGCTGTTGTTGGATTTAAAAAGGGACAGGACAAATCTGACCAGGAACACTTGTAGCTTCAGAAAGATGGAGGTGATTTAAATCTTGTGCTTCAATTAATAAACTGGTTGCCACATCCTCATGGACTGTCCTGCAGCATTTCACAGTGAAATGTGATATATGGGAAGGGCACCTTCACATTAGGTGTCGGGCACAGTGTGCTGCCGACTGGTGTGCTGGGTTTGGCTCGCTGGCTTATCTGGCATAGCAGAGCCCCTTTGCTATTGAGTCACTAATGAGTGACAGCAGTTTTGGGGGTTTCCCCTCCTTCACCAGTCTCTTGTTCCTCACCATCCATTTAACTGAGCATGTTGCCTGTTCAGTAACACAAGCTTTTCCTGGCTAGAGTTGAGTTGGATCCAAAACTTGAATCTTACTGCATTGCCAGTACTACACCATTGAGTTAGCGTGGGTCTAAATAACCTCTTAGGCTGCTTCCAGACAAGTGTAGATGTTTGTTTCCTGAGGGACAAGTAGCAGCAGCACACCTTGTTAATCCTAACCTACTAACTTCTCCCAGGGCACATGCATTCCCTTGAGTCTGAGCTTTGTGAGCTACAGGTTTCTCAGTTCCCCAGGAGGTTTACATTATGCCTGTAAGGAACAGCAATTGCTCCATACATTTTGAGCTGAGGTGGATAGGAGATTAGCAGCAAACTGTTTAGCTGCTTCAGCTGTTGCAATAAAGTGTACAATGGAGGGGTTGGCAGCCTTGCAAAATTGAGTTAATCAGAAGAATGCTGCCCACTGCGTGCTCATATTTCAGTTACTTCTGAGGTAAGTCCAAATTGGAGGCTGCATCAGCATTTGTAACCAAAGAGCAGTTTGTCTTTTTGTACAGGAGAAGCTTATTTATTCTCAAAGCCTTTGGAGACCCTTTGCTGTTGCAGTCTCCTTGTCTCATGTTCATTTTCCTCCTCCTGCAGAATCCTTTCCCCAGCACCTTGGCTATTAGTTGAGGAATCTTTACAGTAAATCCTATAAAGGTTTTTTTTATTATTATTCATTTAACAAAGCCATAATTTGGAAACACTTTTCTTAGTGAGGTTTAGGGTATTTTCTTTCAACATGTCATCTAGGTCAACTCTCTATTTGTTTCTTGTCAGGAAACAATAGATTTTCTTGAACTCCATAATAGTAAGAAGTTGCAGAAATTCCAAATGGCTTTGGTTTGAATATCCTTTAGGCTACAGGCCACTTTCTCAGATGTGATTGGGAAGTGCTTGGTTAGACTTTGCTGACAAAGTCAGCAAAGCAATTTGCTTTACTGGCTTTGGTTTTAGTCGAAAGCTTCACACCAAGTCAGGGGCTAAAACAAAAGCTCAGCCCCACCCCTGCCAAGATTAGTGCCTCTTCTCAGGCTGCTGATCCTTCTGCACCATGCTGCTCCTTTTTTGGAAATGAGGTTGGCAGGAGATGGTTTGAGGCACGGGATATGATTAACCACATAGCATGAGGCTTTTCATTTTGCTGCTTTCTAGGAGGACATGTCACTATTGCAAGTCTCTGTTCCTCACTAAAGCAAACTGATAAAAATGAAAGCACCTTTGGGCAGTGGATCTGTTGAGGAAGAAGGAGGATTTTTTTCATAGCCCCTAGTTTGACATTTAAAGATGGGTCAGAACCAGAAGCTTAAAACAATTTCAGGAAGGTTCTGATTCAGATCCACTGTGCTTCTGGATGCAGCCCAGAATCAGTCAGTCACACAGGGCCAGAAACCTTTGGAGAAGAAAAATTTTATGAGAACTCTGCCATTCAAAGCTGAACTGAGGTCAAGAGGTTCATGTCCAACTCCATGAGAAACCTGTTCCTGTAGGACACTGGGAAAGGAAGTTTAATGGGATTCAGAAATGCTCAACACTTGGAAGGCCAAGATTTAGCACAGTTTGGAAGTCATGTTTAATTGGAATGAAGGGACAAGATTTGACAACAAAAATTGTTGCATGCAATAAAGGAGAAATCCCTGTCCGAAGCAGGAGGAAAGGTTGTACAAGCTCTTATTTCTCTTACGTATCGCTTCCCATTTCACATACATGCACACACAAGAGAGCACTGCCTGCTCTGATTAGACCTAGAGCAAAAGAGCTTTAATTGAAATTGCTTTTTGTCTTCAGGAATGCATCATAGGGAAACAGTTGTAGTTCTACCCAAGCTGTTGTTGTGGCTGAATTTTTTTAAAAGCTGCCAAGGAATAAAGTTAAAGTGAATTTGGCATCCTATACTCCTAAGGGAGTCTGACAATCACAGTCATACGCAGAGGTGTAGGCTGACACATTTTATGCTCCAAAAGTTTGACATTTGAGAAGTCCATACATGCCAAGTAACAGATTAGTTTAGGTTTAATGAAAAAGTGGTAATTCAGAGGAAGAATGCAAGTGTTTAAGTAATTTTGTAGCATAGTGGTTTTTGAAATGCACAGGCCCTGATTCTGCATGGAGTTGCCTTGGCCCTTGCTCCATGAATATAGGTCAGAAGAGATGAATAGAAATGCAACTAGAAGGGTTGCAACAGGTTGGGATGTAGAGCTGACCAGCAGAGGAAAGCCACATTAGCAGCTGCATTACTGTAAATGCACATGCAGTTGATGTTTTCAGATCATCTGTCTTGTGTGACTTAGACTCATACAGTTCATTCAGTTTATATATCGGTTCATCTTCCACCCTCTGGTCTTCTGGAAAACTGGAGCTGCTCTTAAGGAGATGTGGTTGGGTCTCCCGCCCAACCAGGGTTCAATGGTGCCATTCAGCATGAGGGAAATGTGCTAGTACTACTAGACACCACAAAGGGTCTCATCCATGCATTAAGCAAAACCTTGATTATTCTTTTCTGTTTGTGTTTTGTTCCCCTCCCCCCACCCCTGGATGTTTTCAACAGTCTTCAAGAGACCTATGAAGCGAAGAGGAATGAATTCCTGGGTGAGCTCCAGAAGAAAGAAGAAGAAATGAGACAGATGTTTGTCATGAGAGTGAAGGAAAAAGAAGCAGAGCTGAAAGAAGCAGAAAAAGATGTGAGCTTTTTCTTGTTAAGTGGATTGGGCGCACAGGTTTCTGCTGGGATTTACAAAGGGATGTAAAAGCGTTGGCCACCCAACTCTCAATCCTACTGACTGGGGGTGGTTAGGGTGCTTACCAGAATGTGGGGAAGAGACCAGGAGTCAAGTCCCTGCTCCAGCATAGATTTCTGAAGTGACCCGAGACAAGTCTCCTACTTCGCTTGCTTGCATTCTCCATCTGTAGACCTGGGGATATAGTACTGTCTCACTTCAGGTGTTGTGAAGTTGTCAGAAAATTCCTTTGTTAGCTAGAATTCCCTTAGGCACCTGGGAGGTTTTTCTGCTGAATAGCCTCTGTTTTCCCTTCCAGGGAAGTGGCCTCTGAGTTGGCAAGTGTAGAAACATCTGTAAATGGCCTAAGGGCAACCTTCACCCTGGGCACTTGTATACTTGCATTGTTATGGTGGCTGTTCATCATATGTTAAGTTCATTTGTGCCTAGCTGAAGAGTTAGAACATGCATGAAATGTGAATTGTAGGAGCGCGTTTTTTCAAAATGACCGTGCAACCCCTTCATAGCTGTGAGCTATCTCAGCAAGCCCCAGCAATCAGTTGGAGATGCTGGCAAGGATTGAACATGGGCTTAGATCTTTCAGGCACCAATCTCACATCTGTGTCAGTACTCAGTCAAATGTGTTGCTAAATCCGTAAGTCCTTTTAAAATGGGATTGCCATTGTTTCAAACATAAATAATTTAGAGACTGTTCCTAGTAGTGCTGTTGGCAAAGGATGAAATACTGACTTGTCAGAACAACTAGTGTATAACCAGCTTCAATTTTTCCTCTTTAAATGTTACTTCTCTTGGGATTTTTTTGGTAGGTTCCTAAAGAATTACTGTTTTTCAGTCTGTTTGTATCCATATGAATGACTTTATCTGAATCCATTGGTTTAATCTAATCTGGATTGGGTTATAAAATCTTTTACAACCTTCCTATGTGACCTTATGTACTTCTGAAAATTTTACCCTGTTACATTTGAAAATGAGATGTAAACTCCCTTTGACTTTCAGCTAGATGGTTACAATTCCCCTACCTTGGATGCTTAGATTATAAAACAGTGGTTCTTAAACTGTGTTAGACTCAAGGCACCTCTCAGAAAATGACAGCTCTTAGCTTTCACTTGTTTTTTTACTATAGGAAAATAGTGGAGAATTTTTTTTATGTTACAAAGAACTCAGAAAGACCACAGCAGATCAGAATGGTTTTGATGCTGTGGATTCCTATTTGTCATCTCTTGGCAATCGTGTGTAGGTGTTTGCAAACCTAATAGTGCTCTCTCCCTCTTTCATCATGCCCTTGTCCGGACAGCTCCATGAGAAGTTTGACCTTCTAAAGCGGACACACCAAGAAGAGAAAAAAAAAGTAGAAGACAAAAAGAAGGAGCTTGAGGAGGAGCTGAGCAACTTTCAAAAGAAGAAGGCTGCAGCTCAGCTACTACAGTCGCAGGCCCAGCAAGCAGGTTCCCAACAAACCAAGAAAGACAAAGACAAGAAAAAGTAAGGGGCCGTCATGCTACAACCTTATGGGCTTCCTCTAGTTCTATTTTGATTTTTTTTTTCCTGATTCATGTTTATACTTGCTTTTTCCACAACCCTCCCCGCAAGCCCTCCCACCTATCATCAGACTGGAAACCACGTTTTACCAGACTGATCAAATCAAAATGTTCTTTTGAAGGGATGGGAAAGGGAGATGATCTTTTTCACTAAAAGGTATCTTCATTGCATTTGCGTGGTCTTGCTTGCGCAGACATTCGCTTGCTCGCTCTCTCACTGACTGGTGTGAAAAAGCAATCATAAAATGAAGGTCCGATTGGTAACCTGTCAGCATCTGCTGGACCAACATTGGGACACTCTGAACTCACCTTTTTCCCTCCTGTGCGAAAGGAAGTGTGTCTGTAGGTTTTCTTCCCCACTTTTACCCTAGGAACAGTTCCAGATTTGTAATTCTTAAGGGGTTTTGTTATAGTTTAACCAGAAGCACCATGTTGTTTTGACATGGAAAATGTTGGTGCCAAAAGCAAATATGTTGAATATTTGTTTTTGTGGGTTTGAAGTTTGTGTTTTGGTTGGGGGGGGGGTTGTTTTTTGTTTCTTTTTTTAAATAAATCGTATCTACAGTTGCAGATGAACTTCATATAGAATAAAGTAAATAAGCTAGCAAAACTGATTTGTTTAGCAAAGATGCTGGCATTGTGTTTTTCTACCACTATATTTTTATACTTTGAGTCGCATTCCACCCCCGGATACTTTTGGGAATTTTTGGTGGCTTCAGTAGGAGGTGGATATTTTCAAGGGCAGAATTTGTCCCTTGGTTAGCATTTACAGATGGGATTTTCCAATACACTTGGTTTTGGTCCACTTTTGCTCTAATTGCAACGGATGGTAAAATTTCTACTGATTTCCCCCTACCCCTTCCCCCCATGAGAGCACAGTGAGGCCGATTTTGAGCACTTCTCAGAACTGCTTTGTGCACCATTGACTGCAGATGACTTCCTCTCTTGACCAAAAAGCAGTTTCATTCCAGCAATGATTGGGCTCTTCCCAGAATCTCCCCAGGTATGAGGGGATTGCTGTTTAGATGAAGTATTGTTGATGCAACCACCTTCCCACTGCCTTTACTGGAAAGTGATTATTTTAGTTCTTCATTAGCATAAGAGGTCTGTATGTGTAATAAACTGACTTTCCCCCCTTGCTTAAAAAATAACCACCTCTTGAGTGTGAGATGTGCAGTGAAGCCAAAGAAGTGACATGGATGGTCTACATAGCCTAGCAGGAATGGGAGTTACGTAAGGCCAGTCTCTACAACTTTTATTTTAAAAAAATAATTCACCCCCCAAAAATTCCCATCAGCCCTTCCTATATAGGTAGGAGGTACTTTTTTTGTATTCCTTAAATTGTGCACCTATAACAAAAGAATACATTTTTTGCAGTCATTACAATCAAATAAACTACAGAGATTGATACAGTAGAATCTCATTCAAATTCATGCTTGATAACTTGTGCACAACAAACCAGTGTTTGGCAGTTGTCTTAATTGCCAGTGCCAAATATCCTCTAACGATTTATGCTATTTGACATTTCCTAGGGTACTCTGAAGTATTGTGGAATCTTGTTCCCTACAGGTTTTCAAGAAGAGGCTAGATGAGTATCTGTCTAGGCTGGGTTAGGACTAATACATCCTGCATTTGTACAGGGGTTTGGACCTGAGGTCCCTTGACTTCTGTGATTATATTGTCATAAATAAGCAACACAAAGCTACCATTGACCAAAGAAAGGAAGTTCAAATAATAAGGTGATGTTACTGCTTATTTACTTGCTGCATCACAAACATCAGTCATTTGTAATAGGTCATCCAGTGTGAGCAAGTGAGGTTCTACTGTAATTTGCACATATTAGTTCATTTTATACATTTATATAAAATGTTCTCACTTGTGCATTAGCAGAGGCTGGTATGCTTGTGTCTTGTCTTTACTGTCTGATTAGGTCACAACCTTAAACGCTCACCTTAGGAAGATGTTTAAATTCATCTAAGGCCAGTTTCTCAGCTGCTGTAAATCACTGTAGCTCCCATACAGCCATGCTGCTTTACGCTAACTATCTGGCCCTGCATGCTGACACAATCACCAGAAAAAAGGTGCAGCTTTCTCATATGTCCTTCATACTCTTTAATTTAACATAATTCCCAAAGCAAGCTAGTATCATGTCTACATAAAGAACTATTAGTATCTAGCAAAAAACTTTTTAGTACTTGTTTTCCTGGCCTTCGTGATGTAATTAGGAATGACTGGAAAAATGGCTGATGTCATACTGCAATATAATGACTTTCTGAAGAGAAATTTGGAAATTTTAAAGACCCCTTTTACGGGATTTTTTAAAACTGGGCTGCTAACTCAGTATTTATATGCCATTCCCAGTAGGTTTCTTCCAATCTTTTAGTAGACTAAGGCTACTTTTAATGGGAGTTACGTAGATATTAGCTACTAGTTGTTTCTGTGAAGTCTTCTGGCGCATGCATGCTATTAAGTATGTAATACACTTGTGTGGCATGGCCATCACTAGTAGCATTTTTTTTCTTGTCTGCCAGTGCACCAACACTGAAATCCAGGCATGAGGAAAATGCACATGCACAAATTTATACAGTCTTTATGTAGCCGTGCCAGGTGGTGTAGCTGCTAAAACTGTTTTATCATCTTTGAATTATGAAAATATGATTAAAAGGGAAATACTGATGCTGTCACATTGTAGCACATCTTGGTTTTTCTAAAGGCTTTCAGTCTTAACGAAATGCTACACAAGTCCTATAGGTAAGGCATTTTAATTCTAATCATTGAACTGTAATGGCATGACTATGATGTTGTATACATTCACCAGTGGAAACAGGCTAATCGCTAAAATATTCTTAGCATGGCTTCTGTTTTATCCCCCCTCCCCCTCCAAATGCAATTTATTTGGAGGCTCCTTCATCAAAGTGGAATTATATTTGGGCAATTCTTTAGAAGACCGAATAAAAGCATAGGGCCAGGTTCTCTCTGGTATTATGTGACTGTAGAGAATTTTGGCTCACAACACTTGGGCCCATCCTATGAGACTAATGTTGTCCTTGGTACTTTTTTTTTTTTATTATATATTTCCCCAATGGATTCACGAGTTGAATTTGAGACTTACAAGTTACAAAAATGTTTTTTGTGGCTATGGTCTTGATTTGGGAAAAGTGTTCTTGTTCTGGGTAGCACGTGCTTCTGTGTTTTGCTGAAATCTGGGCCAAATCCTTCACAGACCCGAAAATCTTAACAAAGGGGTTGGCATTGCTGCATAGTTAAACAGCCTAGTGATTGTAGCTGTCTGTGGTATGAGCTTGTCAAAACCAGAGTGGCTTATAAGAGTGACCGGGAGTGGTTTTTTTAACCTCATCTGCATCATGTGATAGGTTATCAGATGCATACCGAGGCCCGTGGATTGCACTGCTTGCAGCGTGTCAAACTGTACAGAAGTTGGAAGTTTTTCCTTTGGGCTTTTAAAACCATTTTAAAAAGCAGCACAAGAGACTTTTTTTCCAGTTTCCTTTATTACATGGAAATTCCAAAGCAATTTCCAAATATTATGGCCCATATTCAGCCCCAGCATAAATCCTTAAATTCCAAGCATGCTGCCAGTTCATATGAAGTCTGATCCAACACCCATTACAGAACAGCGTCCATTGACTGACTTATGCCCCTTTGGTGCAGACAGACCTTTGAAGTTTTTTCAGGTTGGGCCATCAAAGGGCCTGGTGCTCAGCACCTGTCCTCTGAAAGTTGTTTCCTCCAAGATGTGCACTCAAAAGATCAGTAGCCCTTTCTGAAAAAGAAGGCATACGATTCACTATGTGGTTGGTTGGTTGAGAGGATTTCCTTCCACCCCCCCATCCACTTAGTTTTCCTTTGCTTTTGCTTATCATATAGAATTGAATTGAATCAACATGAAGGTTTGTTTTGCACCTTTTTTAATTTAATCCATTTGCATGAGCATCAACCACAGCAGCATATCAGTGTCAGCTTCCCTTTACCTTTCCTTTCCTTTTTCCCTTTTGGGTTTCTATTATTTCTAACATTTTTTTTTTGTTTTTGTTTTTTAACTTGCAGTGCAAGCTTCACATAAAGCCTGGCAAGCCAAGGATGTTCCTGCATTCACTTGCTTTTGCAGTAATGTGTCTCAGCCATCTTTAAAAAAAAACAAAACACAAATAACTATTAACTCATTTAGTATTGTAGTGGGAAGGTAAAACAATATTTACTGGGAAATTGGGGGGTGGGGAGGGTTGGGGTGCGGGGTTGGAAATCTAATGATGCCATTTGCCTTTCTGGAAAGAAACAGCAGCTGTCATTCAGATTTGAATCGAGAGCAAGTACTGTCCATTGCAGGCTTGGTTTAGTGCCTGGTAACATTCCTTGGGATCCAGTAGACATGGAGTCAGGCTACTGTTACTGTTTGCACACCCAACTCTCAAAGAGCCAGATTGCTGTTCCATGACTCTGCTTGAATAGTACCTTATGCCTGGGCACAGTCCCATGGAAATCTGTGGGATCAGCTATGGCATAAGATACTGTTCATTGTCAGTGCACTGCTGTCTGGTCAAAGTCTTTTTCTCTGCTTGTATTGCTGAACCCAGAAGCCTCACTCAAACTCTCATCCTTTGACAGCTAACCTATATGACTGTAAAAATCCCACTGTTTTCTGTGTATAGTTAACAGAGGTGCAACTGACCTTGCATGATTTTACACTTGCATGGATTTTTTTCTTACTGGACAACATAACTGTGGCTTGGATGTATTTGGTAGCTGTGTTTATCTGAAACAAAAAGAAATGCACAAATCTAGAACTCTTGGTTCAGAGATGATACCTTTTATAAGACCAACTAAGAAATCACAAAAAATATATCTTTTTCTGCAAGAAGAAAAGCTAAGAAAAAGAGTCTCTGTTGTTGTTGTTGCAATTTCTTAATTAGCTTAATAAAAGGTATCATCTCTGAACCAAGAGTTCTAGATTTGTGCATAACTGTGGCTTGGCTTTTTGTTATGTGCCGAGTCTCTTACAATAACTCTTAAATCTTGTGGCTAATTGGTAACGGCTGAAGTCTGCATCAAATGGAGCCACAATTTCCAATAGATAGAGATTTTCTTCCAGTTTTCCTGCTTTGAAATAAAAAGGTTCCCATCAAAACTAATCATATAACAGTAACCTTTGAGGCCCATCCTGAAAAGCAAATAAGTGTTCCAAAATGTGATCCCCATTGTACACAGTGGAAAGATTAACTGATTCCTTTAAATCCCCATCCAGCAAACACACACATATGGATGTACCTGTTCATGCAATGCAATGCCAAGGGCTTTCAGGAAAATAGTCACCTGAAGAAATTTATGCACTGAATTTTATATGGCTGCAAGGTCAGGCCACTCACTACTAATCTACATTGAGTGTAGAAAATCCCATCTTCTGATGCCAAGTGCAGGGTCATTTAACACTTGTTAACTTCAGTTACTCTGGGCTCCTGAGAACACCACAGTTAGCTCCCTTTACAGCTACTTTGACCAAGGCATAAAAATGTTATATGAAAATACCACTTAGCTTTGTGAGGGCTAAGAAACAGGATGTAAACAGCAGTTTGCCAAAAGAGCAGTGAACAGCTCAATTAACTGCCAAAGCAACCTTAGCATGCTAACCTCTCCAAAATGGAAGAGAAGGTGGAGAAAATGGCTAGAATGGGTTCTCTTCTTCCTCCTGTTGAGTGGCCTGCAATTCTCTTGCATATATATCTTGGGCATGCAAACAAAATCTGAGCCTCTCTTCATGGTCAGCTTGTAATGAACATTGACTTGCCTGTTTTAATTCTGTATTTTCTCTGCCATTCCTTTCTGGACAGAGTCTTTTCCTTTCTGATACATTCCAAGAAGTGGAGACCCATGTTTACCTTATGACTTCCTGGATTTCTTTCTCTGCTGCTGATGTACTACCAGCTTCCCCACTGCTCCTAGCTAGGTAGTCTCCTCTTTCTTACTTTGAAAGCACTCTTGAAATTCACCCTCTTCACCTCATACACTCACTCCTAACTGCTTGATTCTACTCAGACACCAGGATGGAATTTTTTTCCTTCTCCCACTTAAAGTTAACAGAGGCAAGTTTGTGTCACTCTTTCTTTTATTAATTTAGATTTATTTTCACTCCTCCACCTTCACTGCTTAAACATGGCTCTTGGACATAGGAAGGGTAGTTGGACAGATGGCTAAATTTAAGCAGAGGTAAAAGTAGGAAAGAAACCATTTCAGAATTCAGGCTAACTCTGTATGCGAACATCTTAATCTGTGAAAAGACCAGCAGTTACAGTAGTCAAGTAAAATAGTACCAAACGTCAGCTTACTACTGAATGTAACCGTATTGACTCTCTGGGAATTGACTCCCTGCAACCAGTTTCCCAATCACAGGCAGTGTGTGATCACCAGGGATCTGGGTTTTTCATTTCCCAGGGAAAAACAGAAAACCACGGATTCCTCCCCTTTATTGGAGAAAAAAAAACAGATTTTTCCTTTTGGCAGAGATACCTGCGGATTTCCCACTCTTGCAAAGACCTCTGCAGGCAAGCACAGGTCCAGCCTGCAAGAGCTGTTTGCAAAAAGGGTGGCGAACCCCCAACCCTGTCCAGAGGGAGCAGGGGAAAGGGTGGGACCTGAGGCTCTGTCAGCCAAGCCTTGGCTCGGGCTCACTTTTCTTTCTTGGAGCCTGTGAGGTAAGTGGGCCTTGCAGGGGGCTGGGGGGTTACAGGTCACAGATGGGGATTCGTGATAGAGCAGCCACAGTTGGACCCACATCTTGGTGCATGGGGGGAGCTGCTGCCAGGAGGGAGCAAGTGGGAGGTAGGCAGGGAGTGAGGAGCACCAGCAGGGCTGGGGTAGGGGCTGTAGCTTGGGAGTGAGGGGCAATGGCATATCAGGGCTGCTCAGCACCACAAAGCAGTGTGGGGGGCAACCGCAGCTGGACCCGCATCCTGGTAAGTGAGGGGGGCAGCAAAAGTTCTGATTTTCCACGATGAAAAACCCAAAATCAAACACTAAAATGTATAGTTATTTAGAATTTATTTTATTATAATGATTGAAGTACTAGTAGGCTTCCAGATTGCTTTAAAACTATATATATAGCCATAAGACATTGTGTTCAACTGATACCCAGTCTTACAATTTAATCATGGATTTTGGGGGTTTAATCAGAGAATTTGCAATTTAATTTTTTTTTTTATCAGGGAAAACCAGGATCCCTGGTGATCACACAAAGTGCTCAGCTCTGAAGTGTGACTGCTTGTGTAGTATGTTTGCATCAGTCATGTCTGTCTGTTTAAATAGCAGATGGCTTTCTGTGCCAAGTCAGACTTATTTTTTTTAACTGTTTTTCCTGCTTAGCCCCTTTCCAGGGATGCTTGACAGAGATCATCTGAATTGAGTGACATGTTTTGGGTTGGGTTTTTTTCAGCAGGTCCACCGTCCTCCTCATTTACCCCCTCCCTGAACAAGAAATATATCATATTGCTTTGAAGAAGCTCGAAATAAAATTTTATCTTGCAGACATAAAAGTTTTTTTTTTTTTGGTCAAGTGTGATGCTAATTTTTTTAAAATCCTTGGGCCATGTTTAGCTTATTACTGCTGCACTCCCTTTCTGTATCTATGCCTTTTTTCACAGCAACCCCTGGCTCTGCCTGGAATAAATGATCCCCTCAAATCTAGTTGGATGTGCTTTCACTTCTGCATGTAAGTATAGTAGTAAGACTTTCTGCCCACCATTGAAATGAACCAAACAGCTGCTGGTGGTGGTTGTTGTTTTAAGCCCTCTTTTTTTGAGTGGCAGTGCTGAAATTATTTCAAGTGTTTTGATTCAACAATAACCAGACTGGCCTGGGACTTTTAAAAGAGTTAAGTGCCTCACTCCTATTGCATTTCAAATGTGATCTTTTTTTTGAAAATATCAATTTATGGCACTAGCCTGGTCAATCTAATTTCTAATGACAGTTGTGTAATCTTAACTCTTGCTTGCAAGGATCTGCACAATTGTGATTTGTCGTAAAATTATTTAAACTGAAGTAGCTGGTCACTGCCCATGCCACATTTCCCTCAAGCCTTTTTTAAAAATCTTGAGGCTATTAAAAATGAGTAAGAATGTTGAATGAATTTCTGCGAATTAGTGTTTCTTGGATGTGGAAATACCCCTGTAGGCAAAGGCCCAAATGACACACTCTTGCCTTGAGAAGGGTAGTATTTGCTTTGAATTGCACTGCTAAAATGGCTTTTCAAGGCCAACTATCAAAGGCACAGGTGGCAGTTGGGTGCCTAACTCCCAGTGACTCGATCCACTTCCCAAGGAGAGTGAACAGGGTGGAGGACCAAGAGTTCTCAACTTTGGCCTCTCTGCTCCCATTAAAACAAACGGTGCAAGTAGCCCATTAACTTCTGTAATGGAGTGAGGCCAACTCTGATTACTCCTGAATATCTTACTTCTGTGTAAATTAAGTAAGAATGAGGTAAATGAAGTAAATACAAACCTGTGGCCTTTCTTAAACTGCGCCTTACTGACACTGGTGATGGCCATGGCTATCAGAGAGTGTAAAGAGATGAAACTATTAGGCTGATCTAAAAGCAAGGGACTTCAGGCTTAGATGAATCTTGTCACTGTTTCACCCCTCTGCTATATCCTGTGATGAGTGGATGCTAAACAACAGTAGTTTATCATTGGTTTTAGGGATAAATCACTGTGATTTAGCTTCCCTTACTTCAACTCAGGGTCATGTAAAGACTAAATGTTACAACATACCAGCTAATACACACTCAGAAGAAGTAAGCCCCTTTCCTCTTGCCCTTCAACCCAGGTTTGTCTGTCATGCCAAGAGCTCCAACCATGCTCAGAGTTTTAAAGAATATTTCATCACTGTGCTAAAGTCCTTGTCTTGCAGTGTAAACTGAGGAGTAAAGGGTAGTTACATGGGGAGGGGAGAATTGTGTAGTTGTCCCTTCACTGGGCTCTCCACCCCGGAAGTCTAAGCCAGTGATTCTCAATCTCCACCTCTTGAAAAATGTCACCTCTTAATGTTCGCTTGTTTTTTCGACTACAGAAACATAACAGCAATTCTTCTGTTGCAAAGAACTCAATAGGTCAGAATGGTTTTGATACTATGGATTCCTCTTTGAATTTTCAGGGCTTATCTTGTGAGTCATGTTTACACACCTACCAGTGCTAACTTTGTGTGACACCCTGTAGGACCCTTGAATGGATTGCAAGGCACCCCAGAGTGCTGAGGCACCCTGGTTGAAAATCACTGGTCTAAACGATCGAAGTAGCTGTGCATTTGAACCCCAGAATGCTACATTTAAGCAGCACATCCAGATTTTACCTGGGAACTCCCGCCTTTTCAATCCTAAATCTTTCATCCTTTTGGTACCTTGTACATTTTTAGCAACTTATCCTGTCAAGAAGGCTTTGTTGTATTTGTGTCTCTTTTTAAGCAAGTCTTATTTAATGTCATCAGTTGGTTTTGTTTTTCAGGTAGCTCTCATTCTGCTTTTAAACTGTTGTCTTGAAAACTGAAATGTCTTGTGTGTGTGATCATATGCAATTTTGTCTGCTTG